GCCATAACGCCCAGCTATTTTTTGGTTGCAGCCATTATTGTTGTTTGGTGGGTCTGGGCTGGATTCGAGCCCACCACCTTAGGTGTATGTGGCTGGCGCCTTAGCCGCTTGAGCCACAAGCGCCGAGCCCAAGTGGACTTTTTAAAAGATTGAAGGGTTCAGCCCCAGGCAGAGGAAAATTCAGACAGACTAAGGAGACTTTTGACCTGCCACCGTTTATTATTTCAGCACTATTAACTGTGGAGCCTGAACTGCTGGCTCTTCTTCCCTTTGTATTTGTATAAGGAGCAATGCACTCCTATAAAAGATTTTGAAATACAAAATGTACAAGAAAACACAATCCCAAGTGCTGTAAACATAACTGAAAACCAGTTCCTTTACTAAACATCCATTTTTATAAAATACAGGGTTTCAACTTGAGCCTGTGTGAGCCTTAAAGATCTGTTCTGAATATCAAAAATAGGGCTTCACAGCCAGGCCCAGCAGAGGTCTGGTGACAGTGGCTGGCCCTGGGTAGGGTGGTTTGCAACTTAGGTGGCAGCACCACACATGAACTCAAAGACATCTGTTCTTTTTAAAGCTGTTTTCAGCCATGTTTCTCTGTGCATCTCCAGTAAGCAGAAGGCTGCTCATTCTATTCCTTAACCCAAGACCTAGCACGGGTTGCAAAAGGAAGGGGTGAGTGCTGCTACTAGAAATCACTTTGCATAGTATAATGGCTGTGTGCTTTAATACCACCTGTTGCATAAAAATTAAAATCTTTATCTACAAAGCCAAAAAATATTGACTTTTATACCAGAGCTTTTACAAAGCTGATATAAAACTGCTTACATAGTATATAAAGCTCTATTTTAAAATTTAACTTTTCTTTTAAATAGGAAAGCATTTCTAGAGCTACAGGCATCAAGGTATTTAAAAGGCATCAAAATTTGGTGCATAGCAACTCTGGATCATAGAGGCTTTTATTCTTGAGGGGAGCAAAACAGCCCCCACAGGGTCTTGTGAGGGAAGCTTTTATAGGATCCCTCATATGAGGCAGCTACACTATGGGCAAAGGGATAGAGGCAAGTCTGGCTGTGTCTCTGGAATTTCATCTGAGAGGCCAACCTCCTAACCCTCCAAAGGAAGCTGTGAGCTTCCAACCAGAGGCCCTGAAATGAATCTTACCATCTTATACTCTGTGATATAAGATGCACTTTCAAAGAAAATTTGGAAGCACCCAGCTTCAAGAGGGACCAGAATGATTTGCTGAAGGACAGATATTTTTCTCTTACTTTTAGGGGAGAAATCTAAAACAGGATTTTTTTTTCTTCTCTTAAGACCATACTTCTCATCCTGGGTAAATAGCTCCTACCCTATTGACAAAATGTAAAATGTGGTAGGCAATGAGGTGGTCCCCTTGCCAGGCCTACACTGGCCTCAGTAGAGTTAAGTCTCAGTATCTAGGGCCTCCAATCCCCTGGAATAACAGCATCAAACCTTCAATCAGCCCAGCATGCTGTCTCATCTATAGGCACTCAAAGAATCTGCTTCCTGAATAAATGAAAGTACCTTATTTCATCTGCAAACATAATGCAAACTTCAGGGGCTTTGAAACAGGCCCAGGAAATAACATTGCATTGGGGAGAGGGGAGGGCAGGCTTTTAAAAAAGTACCCAACTTGGGCATCTCCTTTGGTAGACAGCAGGTTGGAGCTTCTGCTGGCCCCTGCCTTGGATGCCAGTCTCATGGTAGCAGCACCAGGGTGTCTTTGGTGTGGAAGGTCAGAAGATTGTGTTTGGGTGTGCTCAAAGCCTTCTGGGGGAAAAGTGTTTTTTTTGGGGGGTGGGGGGTTATACAGACAGGGCAGAGTAGGCCAGAATCATTTCAGGCTGTAAACAGAGTGAGGAAATAAGCCTCCCATGCTTGTGTGAATCTTAAAATCTTCCCATCTGGAGCCTTGGATTTTCTCTGCTTGTCTTGATGATCAGCTGTGTTTAGTTTTTGACACAGCCTAGCCTCTAGAGAGGATTCAGAACTGCAACACTGCTCAAACCACCATGGCACTGTGGCTTCGAAGGTTACAGAATGGCCAAATACAGATGCTCCTGTCTGGAAAAGGTTCTGAGACCTGAGAACACACTTACTAGTTTTTAGGATGGCAGGAAATGAAAGCAACCAAGCTAAAACCCCACCTTTCAAAGAAAGTCACCTTACTTATGGCCACTCTACCCAAGGTCCTGAGGGAAAAAAACAATTTGAACATGGAGCCAGTATGGAGAAACTGCAGGAAGATTACCTAGAAAGTTACAAAAAGGCTATGCTCTGGAATGTCTTCTTATATTCCAACACTTCAATGATGGAATGGTTTCTTCTTATTTCATCTAACAACAGTTTGCTTTTATGAAGAGGTATGAGCTACATTTGGCTTTATTTCCTATGAAACTATGAAAGCCTTCAGGATACATGTTGAGTTTCTGAAGCATAGGTGTGGGCTTGGGATAATTTTTTCCTTTTCTTTTTTTCCATTTTTTTTTTTTTGCCTCTGAAAGGTTTTATCAAAAGTTCCTATTTTTAAAATATCATCAAAACTAAAGGGCCCTTCAAATGACCACAAAGCAGTACAAATCACCAATCCTAGCTAAGTAACCAGGGGACCTACAAAAGCAGCACCTCTGAAATGGACAGCCTGCTGCATTCACACTCAGAGCACCCATCATATAAAAGTATCCTATTTAAATATAAAAAGCAAAGCTCATTTTCCCAAAGCTCAAACAGCCTATGCTGTTCCTCTTCTTTTACACCATCTATCCAAGGCCTGAGGTGGAGGAATGTTGCTTTCCCCACAAATAATAAGTCCAACTCCAGGTGCCAGTCCTGAAGGCCGGGGAGTTGAAAACCCAAGGTCCAAGGAGAGTAACATGATGAGAAGTTGGTGGTAGACACAAGGCTGCAGTGTGCAGTGTTAAAGCCCGGTAGATCTTCCTAAATCCAGGGACTCAGGACCTGGGAGGGGAGTCTGTCTGCTCACCTCCGTTCCTTGGGAAACAGAAATCTGGGACATATCTCTCCCAATTATCTCGTTCACTGAAAAACAAGAAAAAGGATAGCGATTAATGACCTCTGAGTGACTAACCATATGATGCTCAATGGTGAGCTCCACCTCAGCCATTTCCCTACCCATGACTTTCTAAGGCAGAGGCAGTGCCTGAAGGCTCTCCTCAGCTGAATGGCATGAGAGACAGAAACGTCATCACACAAGCTGCTCCAGACCCCTCTTTCTTGCCTACTCAATTCAGTTTGGGTTGGGAGGGAGGACAGCTGAAAGAACAGGACATTCTTGCCCTTTAATCTGAAGGCTCATGCTCTAGAATAAAGGTTAGAGTAATTAAAAATAAGTGTCCAGGCTCAGCGGCTAAGGTACCAGCCACATACACCAGAGCTGGCGGGTTTGAATCCAGCCCAGGCCTGCCAAACAACAATGACAACTACAACCAAAAAATAGCTGGGCATTGTGGCGGGCACCTGTAGTCCCAGCTACTCAGGAGGCTGAGGAAAAAGAATCACCTAAGCCCAGGAGTTGGAGGTTGCTAAGAGTTGTGATGCAACAGCACTCTAACCCAGGGCGACAGCTTGAGGCTCAGTCTCAAAAATAAATAAATAAACAAATAAAGTGTCCACCTAAATCTAACTTTTCTTTAGTTTTCATCCCTTTTGGGAAGTTTTCTTTTTCTGATTCCTGCAGTGCCACTCTCAGGTAAAGTGAATGAAAATAAATGCTTTGGTCAGAGTAAATCCCTGAGATTTGGGAATAATTGTGTTACTTTATTCTTTTTTTTTTTGAGACTTCAGGCTCACTATGTCACCCTCGATAGAGTGCTGTGGCGTCACAGCTCACAGCAACCTCTTGGGCTTAAGGGATTCTCTTGCCTCTGCTTCCCAAGTTGGCACTACAGGCACCGGCCACAAGCTGGGCTATTTTTTGTTGTTGTTGTGGCAGTTGTCACTGATGTTCAGCTGGCCCAGGCTGAGTTTGAACCTGCCAGCCTTGGTGTATGTGACTGGCACTATAACCACTGTGCTAAAGATGCCAAGCCTGTATTACTTTATCCTAATAAATGCACTCTTTACAATGTGAAGGCATATCTATCGATTGTGATCCTTTTTGGCAAGTTTCTTGTTTTCCTGTTGGTTTCTCTGATGTGCCAAGCACCTCAGGGAGCACAGTGCTTTGTGAGGTCCAGTTCAAAGAATTTCTACCTTATGGAACTAATCCAGAAGTGAACATCGTAAATCCCTCATGTAAGAACCTTTAATTTTCTTCACGTGATTTCATTCATTGCTTTATGAAATAAAGATTTCCTACTGGCGGCACCTGTGGCTCAGTGGGTAGGGAGCCAGCCCCATATACAGAGAGAGGGTGGCAGGTTCGAACCTGGCCCCCGCCAGCTAAAACAGCAATGACAACTGCAACAACAAATAAAAAGCCAGGTGTTGTGGTGGGTGCCTGTAGTCCCAGCTACTCAGGAGGCTGAGGTAAGAGAATTGCTCAAGTCCAAGAGTTGGAGGTTGCTGTGAGCTGTGATGCCACAGCACTCTACCGAGGGTGACAAAATAAGACTCTGTCTCAAAAAAAAAAAAAAATATGGACAGTGCCTGTGGCTCAGTGAGTAGGGTGCCAGCCCCAAATACCAAGGGTGGCAGGTTCAAACCCGGCCCCAGCCAAACTGCAACAAAAAATAGCTGGGTGTTTTGGCAGGCGCCTGTAGTCCCAGCTACACAAGAAGCTGAGGCAAGAGAATCACCTAAGCCCAGGAGTTGGAGGTTGCTGTGAGGTGTGGTGCCACGGCATTCTACCAAGGGCAACAAAATGAGACTCTATCTCCAAATAAATAAATAAATAAAATAATAAAGATTTCCTACTAATTCCATTCCTAGGTATATATACAAGATAACTGAAAACATACATCCACATGAAAATTTGTACTCAAATGTTCACAACAGCATTATTCATAAAAGCCAAAAAGTGGAAATAACCCAAATGTCTATTAAGTGATGAACAGATAAACAAGATGTGGTCTCTGCCCACACAATGGAATGGAGTATTCAGCCTTGAAATGGAGTAAAGTTCTGTCTGATGCATGCTACAACATGGATGAGCTTTGAAAACCATAGGCCAGGGGTCCTCAAACATTTTAAACAGGGGGCCAGTTCACTGTCCCTCAGACCTTTGGAGGGCCAGACTGCTGGCTCCGGGACAAGTTGGCTGCTAAGCAGGACAGGCAGCAGTGGCAAAAACACCCAGTGGGCCAGATAAATGTCCTAGGTGGGCTGCATGTGGCCCGTGGACTGTAGTTTGAGAACGCCTACCATAGGCTAAGTCAAAGAAGCCCAGACACAAAAGGTCACTCAGTCTATGATTCCATTTATATGAAATGTCCAGAACAGGCCAATCCATAGAGAAAATAGATTACTGGTTGCAGGGAGGGAGGAATAGGGAGTCAATACTAATGAGCATGGAGTTTCTTTCTAGAGTAATCAAAATGGAGTTCTAAAATTAGACAGTGGTAGTAGTTACACAACTCTGATTATACTAAACCCACTGAATTGTGTACTTTCAAGGGCAAATTTTATGGTATGTGAATTATATCTCAATATAGCTGTCATAATAAAAATAGACCAAGACAAAAAAATTCTATACTTAGAATCTGATGTGATCATAGACCAATAAGACACTAACAATCATTTAAGCAATTCTTAACATCCAATCTTTTTATAGTTTACATATACATAAGAAAACAAATTCTTGGGCAATGCCTGTGGCTCAGTGAGCAGGGCGCTGGCCTCATATACTGAAGGTGGTGGGTTCAAACTCAGCCCCGGCCGAACTGGAACAAAAAATAGCCAGGCGTTGTGGCAGGCGCCTGTAGTCCCAGCTACTTGGGGACTAAGGCAAGAGAATTGCTTAAGCCCAAGAGTTTGAGGTGGCTGTGAGCTGTGACACCACGGCACTCTATCCAGGGTTACAGCTTGAGACTCTTGTCTCAAAAAAAAAGAAAAGAAAAGAAGAAAATAATGAGTAGAGGCCAGGCGCGGTGGCTCATGCCTATAATCCCAGCAATTCTGGGAGGCCGAGGTGGGTGGAGGTGGGTGAATTGCCTGAGCTCTAAAACTAGCCAGGCATTGTGGCAGGTACCTGTAATCCCAGCTACTTGGGAGGCTGAGGCAGGAAAATTGGTCAAGCCCAAGAGTTTGAAGTTGCTGTGAGCTGTGACACCATAGCTCTCTACCAAAGGTGACAAAGTGAGACTCTGTCTCAAAAAAAAAAAAAAAGAAAAGAAAAAAATGAAAAAAAAAAGGAAAGAATGAGTAGAGGTAGCCTTGTACTCAGATGAGAAGGACAGACTTGGGAAAACAAATAAGTGAAGGAGTCATCTTGAATTTAAGTTTGGTTTGGTTTGAATTCAGGCTGTTACTCCAAAATGGAGGTAAAGTTTTTTTTTTTTTTCCTTTTGAGACAGAGCCTCAAGCTGTCACCCTGGGTAGAGTGCCATGGCATCACAGCTCACAGCAACCTCCAACTCCTGGGCTCAAGCGAGTCTCCTACCTCTTATCTCCCAAGTAGCTAGGACTACAGGCGCCCGCCACAATGCCCAGCTATTTTTTGGTTGCAGCCATCATTGTTGTTTGGCGGGCCCCAGGCTGGAATCGAACCCGCCAGCTCAGGTGTAGTGGCTGGCACCTTAGCCGCTTGAGCCATAGGCACTGAGCAGGAGGTAAAGTTTTTTTAAAAACTTAAAAAAAAAAAAAAAAGGAGGAGAAGATTCAGGCTCTGCCACTAACTTAACTTCCCGTGGTATATATAGATATATTTCACATATCTAAAACTCCATTTCCTTATTTATACAAGGACAGTGTTGAACTAATAAGATCACTTCTAGCTGTAGTAGTCTGTGGTTTTATGCCGACCAATAATTTTCAAGTGGCAGCACTTGCAGGTATAATGGAAATGAAGGTTTGGCTTGACTGTGGTTAGTAATGAATGTAGAATAGTAAAAAAATAGAGACTAGAAGCCAAACAACACTAATTACAAAAGAGTGAAGATTAAGCAATGCTGGAAAGCTAATAATCACTAACTGATACAAAGGTATTTATAAGATGACTTTTAAGTCAATTTGCCAGGCTAGGATTTACTGATGGTTATTTGCAAAGAATAATAGACTATAAACTAAATTTACTCCTGACCTGATAGAAATAACTCCCCAGAATAGTTTCTATGTAAATGAGAAGTTGTGAGGATGCTTTCCATAAGTATACATTTTTTCTCTTCTATTACCTCATCAATATAACTAGAAAAAACCTCATATGGCATATAAAGTGGGAATGTAAGAGGGGCATAAGACAGCAAGGCAGCCCTTAGTACCTATTATTTCAAGTCACATAAAATGCAAGGAACAGCGTTTTCAATGTGGATTCTGGGATTTCTATGGGCTAGACTCATGCTAAGCGGGAGCTCGAGGATGGCCCACAATCTCTGTGCATGACCTGTAACATTCCTCCTTATCACATCAGATTGTCAGCAGCCATCATCACTACACTGTCTCCCAAATAGGCCTGTGCACTCCTAAAAGGTAAGGACCTTACTAGTGAGGAAAAATCAAGTTCTGATGACAGAATACATGAATCTTAATGTAATCTCATGGAAGATATTTGGAACTACTACAGCGAATGTATATTAGCTAGTAGGGAGGAGAGCACAGAATTTTTTTTTTTTTTTTTGAGACAGAGTCTCACTTTGTCATCATCCATAGAGTACTATGGCATCACAGCTCATAACAACCTCAAACTCTTGGGCTCAAGTGATTCTCGTCCCTCAGCCTCCCAAGTAGCTAGGACTATAGGCACCTGCTACAACCCCCAGCTATTTTTAGCGACGAGGTCTCATTCTGGCTCAGGCTAGTCTCAAATCCATGAGCTCAGGCAATCCAACCACATCAGCCTCCTAGAGTCCGTGCTCAGCCCATGCTCAGCCCATGCTCAGCCCACAGAGAATGTTACTAAGACTAACATATGGTATCAGATTTTG